AAAAAAAAAATTCCCCCCCCCCCAAAAAAAAAATAATCGGAACGACGTACATGTTCGTAACAATAGGAAAGCTTTTTTTCCCGCCTCCTTGGATTTGTATAAACCCATTTACTATGCATATGTTTGTGTATTTTATCTTCTGGCAATGACTGAGGTTTGTTTGAATTACTTTAAATTCTCATTATTTTCATGCTGTTGTTCATTTATCATTTTGTTTGCTTTGTATTCAAAGTTGTATAAACTTTTCTTCAGAAGTTCTAATGTTTTGAAATCTCCAAGTGGCTTGAGGAAATATTCCACAATATCTGTGCTGCCAGGTTTTCTAATATATTGGGCTTCTATTTTGCTTTCCACCTCCTATTTCTTAAATGGGAACTTTGATTCTGTCTTCCAATTTCTACGTAAGCAATTTTGAGTGTGTTAGCACATATTAAGCAGAAGGCAGAATAGAATCTTTTTTACATTATTACCTTTATATTAGATTGTGACTGAATCGATGGGTTGAGGACAATTGTATGAGGTTCGGCAAGGCCAAGTGCTGGGTCCTGCACTTGGGTCACAACAACCCCATGCAACGCTACAGGCTTGGGGAAGAGTGGCTGGAGAGCTGCCTGGTGGAGAAGGACCAGCGGATGTTGGTCGACAGCCACCTGAACATGAGCCAGCGGTGAGCCTAGGTGGCCAAGAAGGCCAATAGCATCCTGGCTTGTATCAGAAGCAGTGCGGCCAGCAAGACTAGGGAAGTGATCATCCCCCTGTACCCAGCACTGGTGAGGCCGCACCTCGAGTACTGTGTTCAGTTTTGGGCCCCCGACTACAAGACAGACGTTGAGGTGCTGGAGTGTGTCCAAAGAAGGGCAACGAAGCTGGTGAAGGGTCTAGAGAACAAGTCCTATCAGGAGCGGCTGAGGGAACTGGGGTTGTTTGGCCTGGAAAAGAGGAGGCTGACGGGAGACCTTGTTGCTCTCTACAACTACCTGAAAGGAGGCTGTAGCAAGGTGGGTGTCGGTCTCTTTTCCCAAGTAGAAAGCAATAGGATGAGAGGAAACGGCCTCAAGTTGCACCAGGGGAGGTTTAGATTGGATATTAGGAAAAATTTCTTCACTGACAGGGTTATCAAGCACTGGAACAGGCTGCCCAGGGAAGTGGTTGAGTCCCCATCCCTGGAGGTATTTAAAAGATGTGTGGATGTGGCGCTTGGGACACAGTTTAGGCGTCAACTTGGCAGTGCTAGGTTTACAGTTGGACTCGATGATCTTAAGGGTCTTTCCCAACCTAAATGATTTTGTGATTCTCTTACTTATTTTGCTCATTTGGAGTTACTGCTGTGGGGATTTTTTCCTTATTTTTTACTAAATGTCCTTTAGTATAACTATAGATTTGAATTTCTGCTACCTTAATTAGCAAGAAAATCACCTTTCTCTTGTACTGCATATCATGCTTTTCAAATTTTAGCTGTTTTTTCATGGGTCTAAATCTATACTGGAAACAGACAAGATTCTGAATTAGAATTTATGAAAAGTAAGGAGCAATCCTTGTCTAAGGATGTTACAATATAAGAACATCCCAGGCTGGAATAACTACTAGACTAACACATAAAGAATGGTTTCATTTTTTCGGGGTTGGGGGGAGAAGGGTTGTAATTTGGTTTTCTTCTGTCCTTTTATGTAGGAAATGCATGCATAATTTCTATGTACTCTTTTAAACTGTGCCATATTAGAACATATAATAAGTAATTTATCTCTATTGTGCTACTAAACTGGAAAGGAGCAGCTTCCCTCAATCTGTTTAGTAATGATGGAATTACATTCCATCATAAAACCAAAGGAGTGTTTTGCTCTCTATGGTCATATCGAAAGCTTAAAAGAGGAGCTCATTGTCCTGATATCTCAAATATTGTTTCTAATACTGTCCCTAGATGTTTTCATGGTCAATATCAAATCTATGTCTTTTGGGGGGTCTGGGGTTTTTTTGTTTGTTTGGTTGGTTGGGTTTTTTTGAGAAGAAGATAACAAATATGATTTAGATGAAAATTTTCTTCTCCCTAGCTAATCTGCATTACTTCAGAAAAGGAGTCTATTCAGAAACATGGGAATGATCTTTGCTTCTCCTCTCCTCCAGTATGAAGCAACCCCCACTGAACTCTTCTAATCAGTTACTATCATTCACGTAGTAGAAGCATTCCCAGCTTTTATCGAGGCTGTAGCAACTGTGCTTCCTGTTGCAGAGGTGCAGAGGAATGCTTAGGTATAGTGGTGAGTCTCCTTAGATTTGGTGTAGTCATAAGCATACCTCCTTTCTCTTCCTGGGAGAAGTGAAGAGGTGAGCTGAGTATGATACTGGGGCTTAAAAAATGTGTTATGCTTGCTACAGTTCTTGTTTATACTGAACTGACAAGTCACGAAACAGTAAATAAACTCGAGCCTTTTCTGCTGTTACTAGCCTAAAGAAGGATTCCATAATAACTTTTTTTTTAATTATGACTTTCTTTTCTTCACTCAGCAGTGCTTCATTAGCAGCAGAACACCACATTTCAGTACCTCTCCCTTTCTGCTCCCCAGCCCTTTGCCCATGCTTAATAGTGACAGTGCTCAAGTAAGAGCACTTCAAATTTTGTATGTTTAGCACATATGAAGACTAAGGACAGATTCACAAGATGGAATCAAGACAGGTTTAATTCTGCGAGATAGAGGCAAATGACTAAGCCTCTAGTGTGTTGAGAACACTTGCTGTCTATCGCCATGATTTGTACACTCAGCTTTTGGTTTCTATTTGTAGGTTTTCAGCCGCCTTGCTTATATTTTGGTTTTGCATTCTCTAGGTAATTAATTCATACATGTTTAAAGTCTAGCACAATAAGATATGGCTCCTGATTGGTATTATGTCTGTATCGATAACCTTGGGATGAATATTTAGAACACAGAGTTATTAACTTAATCCTGACTTAAAGAACAGAATTCATGAAATGGAAATAGAATTTAAGGCTTCAACTCTTAGATCAATATTAGGCAAAAAAATTACTGTCAGCCATTATATTGTAAAAATAGATATGAATAAACATCTGGAAAGGTACTCATATTTTTCAAACTAGTAGTTTTGAATTTTGTAGAGTATTGGACAGGTTTTTGTATTCCTTGTGCTTTCCACTCACAGGTAGCTGATGCTTCATTCCCTATTCAAAATATTCTGTCACTTTTAAAGGAAAACTGGAATTGCAATCTGTCCTTTTTTAATGAGACAGGTGGTACAGTGCCCTGCTTTGCACTCTTATTGTGCTCTTGTGATCTGCCATGCTGAAAACATACTAGATCTCATCTGGACTATCTGGCAAATGAAATAAATTGTTCCCTTGTACTGAAAACCTGGGCACTTTTGACAGACCAGCACACCCCCACAGTGGAGGAGAGCTCCAAAGAGAAGGGTAAAAGGACAATGAGCTTGAGGAACAATGTACTGTAAAGAAAGCTGCACTTACCTCCACACTAGAGAGACTGGAGGGTTACCATGGTTTTAGATAAGACAGCTGCACCAGTGAGTCATCAGGTTCCCTCAGACAGCTTACAAAGAATAATGCCTTCCTGAGCAAGCCAGACCAGCATGAGGGGTGAGGAGCGGCGGCGGTGTATATGTGGCTCAGCCCAACATAAAGTGTAAAATCTGGACAACAGATAAAACAAAGTTTGAAGAGAGCAATGGTCTTGAGATGGTTTCAACCAACATATTTCTTCCCAGCGACTGGGGAGACCCAGCATGGTGACGATGAGCATATAGAGACCAGTAATGAGAATCACGTTTGCACTGTGATTCAACTGTATATTGCAAATGCTATATTATGCTTGTGATGTGATTTCAGTACATTGCTGTATCACCCTGCTAAATCAAAATCCCATGTAATGCCAAATATGCTCAATAAGGAAATTTGATATTAAACATTAAACTCTCTTCATGCACAATATCTAAAAGAACGTGGTTGGAGAGTATTCTACTCTGACAGCACGGAGATGTGGCCAACTGGGACCTGCCTCTACATGTGGGTAAGACTGTAAACTGCACAAGATCTGACTTCTTTTGCACACTTCAGGCTTCTAAATCTACTCCAGTGGTCCTTGTTTTTGTATCCCCATGCCCACATACCCCAGCTTCAGTTCAGCATGTAAGCTATGCTACAAAGCTGTGCTTACTGAGATCCAGCAGGCCACATAATTTTGGTAAGAAATACTTTAAGCACAGAAAGCTTTTATCTTGAGACTGAGGCCCAAGTCAACGTTTGCATGTGTGGATTTGCCATTTGGAAGGTATCTCCTGGCAGCAGCATAGTTGCAGAAGTGGTTTATGCTGCTTGAGTAAAACCAGCAAACAATGTCACCTCGTGTTTAAATGTCTAAATGTTACAGCTACCAGCTTCCCAGTGTGTTGATCATGTCTATCTATTTGATAGCTATGACAAGAGATTTAGGGGTACTGTAATGATGAATTTAGTCTAATGATTGGTAGCTTGGTAACTAATTTCATCTCTCGCCTCCCCTTTCCCCGCTAGATGAGGCAATCATAGGTGGAGAGCTCCATTCTCGTCTTCTTATTTAAAGGCTCTCCTCAGTCAGAGATGCAAGAGGTTGGACTACAGCCCTGGTTTGAACTGTTTCCAACCTTATTCTTGCTGCCAAGTTCAGAAACTACACAGGGACTAATAAATCCAGAAAAGACCTCTGTCGTGGCCCAGCAACCTGGGCTGACCTTTGAGGATGCAGTTTGCCAATGCACAGAGAGTGGCTTCTTACAGATCAGAAGATGACCCACACAGGGTCAAAATCTTCCAGAAATCATTTCGCTTCCCTTGCGCCGTGCCAGCTGCGGGCAAGGGCAAGTGCATGTTGTCTGAGTCACTGCTGTGTTGCTCTGCAAACCAGCTGAGGCTGGATGCTGTTTCCTGATGGAAAACGACATCACAGGATTAGTCTCCAACAGTGGATCACAGGAAGGGACACTGCATACGCACTTCTGAAGGAATGTTGTGCTTGGCAGGCACCGACACCCAAGCACTCACACAGCTCTGCCACCACTCACACCTCCTCCTCACCAGGCCAGATGTTTCAGGGTTCCTTTCAAAGCAGTACTGTTTGTGCTAGAATTGCAATTCTGGGGTGTTTCTCTCACACAACAATGTACCAGTTGTCAGGACAGCTGTTCATGGCCAGCCTAGCATGACTTTGGAGTAGTGAGTGTGGTGTGTATCACTCTACCTTGGAAGGAGAAGGCTTGCATGGACCTCACCTACACCACACCATGCACAAGCTGCAGTCTTGCAGGCTCACTGAATAGCTAGTATAGCTGAATAGGTCTATGAAGAAAGGCTGGAGGAACCCCTAGACCAGGTTTGTGGTGTTGGGAAAATAGTAATATACCCAGTTCCTCATGTGAAGCTGTTTTAGGACATGGGAGAGGAGGGACAGGGTCAGTAACCTGCAATTGGGTGCAGGGGTGCCCCTTTGCCCATGTTATTTTCCTCCCTGGGCTCTGGGCTTCTCCCAGAAAGACACCAAAGGACCTCTCCAACAAGTGTTCCAGGTGGTTTCCCAGGAGCAGTGTGGCCTGTGAAGCTCAAAGCTCTGTAGCACACCATGCAAATCTGCTCCTGCATTCGGGTAAGGGACAGCAAACAGCAAACCAACTACTTGGCAACCACAGCTGACACTTGACTGCTTCTCTTAAACCGTTACTCTGCTTTCTAAACTGGCATTTGAAGCCGTACAGGTCTCCTGATACATTGACCATTGATTAAACTAGAAAGCCGTATCATGAAGGCATTGTGAAGCACAATGTTTCCTGCACATCCGAGACTGATCAGCTCCTCTCCTCGCCTGGCCTCCTGCAGAGCTGCACTAGGCAGTAAGTTTTGCTGTTGAACTCTGCCAGCTCTTATAGACTTGTAAGTACTTAGCAGCTGAAGTACTGCCCTGTCCAAACAATCTCTCCGGGGCATAATTTTCCAAGTAATGAATCTACTGTGGGCATCACTGTAGGAATGTATTGAATTTTGTCTTGGGCTATGTGTTTCTGGAGGAAGCCAAGTCTGGAAAACGATGACGTGCATTGTGTCGGTGTCTCCAGACACTACTGCTGTGCTTTGTCTTTGTTACAGTAACACTTGGTTGGAAAACCAAATACTTTGGTTGGAACCCGCAGCTGCTTACAGGGGTTTATTTATGCTTAGGTCTCTGGACACAGCAGCAGGCTTGCCTTTAAGGATCTAGCAGTTGAGAAAGACACCACAATCCCCAGGTTCTGCCCAGGTCAGACCAGTCATTTCCCAGCCCATGCTGATGCAAGTAACTGTTCTGCTTCATGTGCAGAACTTTGGACTTCTCTGTGACAAAGTGCACAAGATTTCTTTTGGCTCATACCTCAAGTTTATTAAAGTCCCTTTTAATTGAATGTCTTACTTTTGACTCTGTCTACCCTTCCTAACTTAGTATCATCCACACATGCTAAGGGTACATTCTCTCTTATCATCCAGGTAGTTACAGAAAACACCAAATAATATCAAGTATTCAGCCCTGGGGCATTCTTTTCATTACTAGTTGCCTGCAGACACTAGGTTGTTAACTACAGCCCTTTGACCCTCTGCTACAGACAATTTTTAAAATCTAACAGCCTGTTGATCCAGCCCGTACTCCCTCAGATCCCAAATGAGAATGCTATGGGAGATGGTTACAAAAACATTACTAAATGCCAAGTGTATTGCATCCAGCACTCCTCCCTTGTCCACATAGATAGCCTCTAATCTATAGTTCTGTGGTAATTACCAGTACCTAGACATCAGCAGTTTTTGTTGCCCTCCACCCATCATCAAGAGCCAACTGAACCAGTTTTATTTCTGATCGTTGCTCAGTCTCACTGATTCTTGGAGACCCCGCTATCTTCCCAAGTAATATTTTCTACTCCATATTAGAAATTATTTCCTTACTGCTAACACTGCAGCAAAGAACATTAGTTCTTTTATTTCCTACAATGTATACTGAGGAAAGATGACTTCCTTCTTTTTATAGCACTTCTATACGTGTCCTGTAGACCATAATTCAGATCATAAATCTTCATCTTTTAAGTGTTTGAGAAGAAACTTTGGTTTTTCAGCCATCTCTTTGCGTCAGGGAACTCCAACAATATGTGCCTTTCTGTTAGGAAATAGATCCTAGACCTCTCTGATAATTACTGTTGCTCTCTTCTATGTATTCTCTTATTGTTCACTTCTGAACCTGAAGTTCAGTGCTAAAAACTAGGCCTAAAATTCCAAGTGAGACTGTACCTTTCCTGGCTACAGGGGAAGATCTTCTTCACTTGTCTTGTAGATGTTGTCATTGTGTTCCTTTCCTAATACCTCGTAACATACTGTTGTTGATTCTTTGTCAACTTACAGCTATAACCTGAAGATCCAGATCTACTCAGGTGCTAGTCAACTGCTGCTATCCAATATTTATAAAACTGATATATTTCTTTCCAGGTGAAGTATCTTACACATTTTTGAAGACAATATCTCCAATTGTCCAATTTATCAGGCATTTTTCAATACATAAACTGTCCTCCATCATTCTAGCATTTCTTTATTTGTTGGTACCCATAGCACTTCTATACGTGTCCTGTAGACCATAATTCAGATCATAAATAAAATTATATTAGGCCTAGGACTGATCCTAGCAAAACTCTGACACAGCATTTTAATTTCACAGTTGACCATCATAAATTTTTCAATATAACTTTCTACCCTGGGAGGGTGTGTGTGTGTGTTGTGCTAGACCAAGTTTCCCTGATTATTAATTTCACTTCTAATATTTTTCTAAAATGAAATGAAATGAAACAGAGAAAATCTGCAGTGTATCAGCCAGCTCTAGGGAAACATTGCGTCCTCTACTGAGACTCTTTCTAAAGTTAATTTTGGAGCAAGACACTTAAACATTACTTTAATTTCTTCCCTTATGTCTTACAAACCAATGTCTGTTTGAGTACTGTAAATTCTTGTTTTTACTCATATCTTGCTTGAATTTGGCTAAGCTGGTAATTAGTACAACTTGATATCAATGAGTTATTCCTTCCCCAGAGTGTGCCGAGTCTGTTAACCCGAGCAATGCATAAATCTTTAACCCAGAATGCCTTATTATGTGCTTAATTCTTGCCCATATTCTTCAGATACCTTAAGAGTAAGAGAGTGGCTGCATAGGCTGGGTGCAGAGCTGTGTCTATTGTGTATTATCACAGGTAAGCTTTCAGCATCCTATTTTCCTTCACTCAGCATGAAGGGCTAGAACTACCTTTGATAACTTAGGAAATGGCATCTAATCACATGCATATCCTGAGTGGCACTGAAGGGGTAGGACATAGGTTTATCCTGCATCCCCATCCAGAACTAAAAGTGGGAGCAGTCCTAAATTCTGCTTCTTGAAATCCTCAGATCAGTACCTTCTTCATCTGCTTTCCTTACAAAACCAAAGACAATCTTGTCCTTTTAAAACTTGTCAGAGAGTAGGGACAGCAATCCCTACGTGCTGTGGATGGAGTTCAAGTGACTGACGCTACTTAGGGAGCAAGATCTGAGAGCTCTTCTCCCATCTCTTTCTACCTCCTGTCTTTATCTCTAACCTGCAGCCTGTTTATGGGGGGGGGGGAAGGAAAGCTCTCCTCTCCTGGTGGACTGCGAACAGGTTTACAAAAGCTTGAAGGGAAACTTGCCCAAATGTGTGGATGTGAGGGATGGAGCTGGTGAAGAGGACCCACCCCTGAGGCTGGAGCTGCACTCTTGCACCAGCAATTACTGTCCACTGCCAGCTGCTCCCAGCTTCCTGACCCCTTTCAAGTGTAATAAACCAGAGTCGTAGAGATCTAACACTAAATCGTCAAAGCTACAGAGATTAAGGCACGTTAAGCTTCTTTCAGTCCTTATTCCCTGAAGAACGTGCATTACATTAAACAGACACGGATAGCTGACAACCTTTCCCGGCTTTGTCTTTTGTAACACTTACAGTCAGATTCTGCTTTACGGCCATCTCCATTCACCTAACCTGGAAAATAAGCATAATGCCCTCATCTTGCTACCAGTAACTCTCTTTTTACCTCTCAGAAAAATATTCCTACTATTCATTTGTGTTACCAGCCTGAGCTTTCAAACTCTATGGCTACTGGGGACTTGGTCTAGTTACTTATGTAGGAACGACATCATGTTCACGAGAAGTGTGGCAGATTTCACAGCCTGCTTCAGTATGCCTTTCAGTCTGGTTTTTACTGTGGGGTACTGAAAAGCTTAATTTTTCCCTTTCTCTGCTTTCCCTTCCTCTGCTTCGAAGTATTTATTAGCTGGCCTACATGCAGACACAATAAAATAAAAATAGAACTAAAAGAGATTATGAAAAAGTGACACTTCATTCTTTTCACTTTTGTTGTTCTAATGTATCTCATTTATCCTTGCCATTTTAATCTATCTCATTTCAACTAAAACTACTTACTATTAAGTACAACTTAATTGTGTCTTCAACATTTAATGTATGAAAATAAATGCCAGGGCCTTTTGCAACATACTACTTGTCTTCTAGAATCTCAAATTCATCCATGCTAGAAGAGATACTCTTTGCTGAAATAGTCCACTGACGTTTTGCGTGACAAGTTTTTACAAAGTACAATGGAGCAAAATATTAGGTTTTGGCTTAATTTGTTCTTTTCTGGCTGATTTTTAATTAGAAGGCAATCGAGGCTTTTGTCTTCTGATTTAATAAAAAATTATCCCAAACAATTCATAGCAGTCCTAAAAATTTAATTAATTTCTGTTGTCACCTTGTGAGACTTAATAATCAAGTAGGATCATGATAATTAAAGCTGATTCTTATTTATGAAGATTGTCTGAAAATTATTTCAATATTCTGAGGATTTGGATGAAAAACTAAATTGGCGAGTGTTTTCCTTTTCCTTTAAACAAGAGAATGGCAGGGATTATGAAACCTAGGAAAAAAAAAAAAAAAACAAAACCAAAAAAACCTCCACAACAATCTGTGTCCAAATATTTATAGGTAATATTGAGGCTGAAGCCTTCTGTTCATGCAGGCCAGATTTCCACATTATTCAATTTATCTGGGGAGAACGGAGGCTTCAGATGAGTCCATTAATGTTTAAATAGAACCTGATACATATTAGTGTATCTATATCTGTTTGACATTTTTCCCCTACAAGCCTGCTTCTGACTTCTGTAAGTCTTAAAGAACAATAGTATACACTACTGTAACTGAGAAAGCGTTAAATTAGCAGTTTATTCGGAATTTATATGCATTAACTAGGCATTGACAGCTTCATTTTATAAACAGAAACTATTTGTAAAAATATCAAAATCTTGCTATTCACTTACAGAACACCACAAAAAACGCAGAGCCCTGGCAAGTTCCAAACACTTTTCAACAGTATAAATATTCCTCTGAAGGTCTCTTATTTTCTGAAAACACGAAGTTCTGTAGAAATACTGTATCCTTAATAGTTAAAGATATCGTTAAGGGAGCCGAATCTTTATCCATATTCAAAGCTCAGCCATGAAATTGTGTTACTTCCTTCTCTTTGAAATCAATTTACAGCAAAAATACTAAAGCTGCCCCCTCGGTTTCTATCCTAATCTGGAGAAAACCCCCTAAAGAATAAGCCTGCGTTACGGGGGAGACTTTTTATCTACGGGTTTTATTTTAATTTAGAAGGAAAAACAAAAGTTTGCCGTTCCCGGGGTCTCTCTGGCTTCACAACGCGGGGTTAAACACATCTTTTCTCTCTCATCTGGGCTCCCAACAGCAAGAAACTGCCCCGAATGAAAGTCCACCGTCTTCTCTTCACTCCCCGAAGAAACTGGGGTGATTTTGTGGCAGACATTTAACAAAAAATATGAATTTATAACTCCGAAGAAACACAGACTCGGAGGACGAAAAGCTCTTCCTGGCTAACAGTTAGGCGGGCTCTGCAAAGCACCAATCACAGATCACCGCTTCGCTATAAATTCAGGCATCGGGGTTACTGTAGCCCAATTACTTTCTTTTGATTACGCTCCCGCCGCCGCTCCCGCTGTCGCGGCCCCCGCCGCCAAGGCCGCCGCCAAGAAGCCGAAGAAGGCGGCGGGCGGCTCCAAAGCCCGCAAGCCGGCGGGCCCCAGCGTCACCGAGCTGATCACCAAGGCCGTGTCCGCCTCCAAGGAGCGCAGGGGGCTCTCCCTCGCCGCGCTCAAGAAGGCGCTGGCCGCCGGCGGCTACGACGTGGAGAAGAACAACAGCCGCATCAAGCTGGGGCTCAAGAGCCTCGTCAGCAAGGGCACCCTGGTGCAGACCAAGGGCACCGGCGCCTCCGGCTCCTTCCGCCTCAGCAAGAAGCCAGGAGAAGTGAAGGAAAAAGCCCCGAAGAAGCGGGCAGCCGCGGCCAAGCCCAAGAAGCCGGCGGCCAAGAAGCCCGCCAGCGCTGCCAAGAAGCCCAAGAAGGCGGCGGCGGTGAAGAAGAGCCCCAAGAAAGCGAAGAAGCCGGCGGTCGCCGTGGCCAAGAAAGCGGCCAAGAGCCCCAAGAAGGCGACCAAGGCTGCCAAGCCCAAAAAGGCGGCGGCAGCGGCGAAGAGCCCGGCCAAGGCGAAAGCGGTGAAGCCGAAAGCAGCCAAGCCGAAGGCGGCCAAGCCCAAAGCGGCCAAGGCGAAGAAGGCGGCGCCCAAGAAGTGAAGTGTTGAAGTGGACATACTTAAACCCAACGGCTCTTTTAAGAGCCACCCACTGTTGTCCGAAAAAGGGCTGATACACTCCGTCACCGAGCTCCGTGCCTGCATCAGAGCTAACCACACGCCGCTAGCCGTGTGGGACGTTCGTCTGTGAAGTGGATGGGACGCTAAGACTTGGAAAAATAAAGTTTACATTCCCTGCGAAAACGCTTTCTAAAGGCTGGGTTTTTTGAGCACCGCAATAGGGTGTACGTGTTAAAGGGACTGCTTAGGGCGGGTATGGCTCCGGGGCGCGGAGGTTTCTTTCGCTGCTTTAACCAGCGCGGTTCCTAACAGCCGGGGTGGGGCGGCCACACCCCTTAGTGACCGCAGCTGGGAACTGTCAGCACGGCTCCTCCGCTTCCCTGGCAATGACCTTTCCGGTTGGCAGCGCTGTCGCCGGGCAGGTCTTAATTTCTGCGTGACTTCACCGACCTGCTTTTTGAGCAGGAGATAGCCGGGGCGGGAGGCGGGTGGAGCTACCAGCGGTCCTCTTCCGCACCCTGCCGGCCTGGTGGCGGTACAGCCGGAGCGCCAGGATTTGGGCAGCCAGCCTGAGCCGCTGCGGGCAGGGGGCTTCTGCGCCCGGTGGGAGCCCAAGGGCAGGGCGGTGCGGAGCTCCCGGCAGCACCGGTGGCTGCGGGGGCTCAGCCTGCGGCCGGTTGTGATTGGCTGATGGGAGAAGCCGCGGCCTCCTATTGGGCGACTGGAAAATTTCGAAAAGCCCGCGCTGCCTCCGCGCGTGCGGCTGATCCCGGGTCCCCGGAGAGCTCGTCCTCCCTAAAGCGTCTACCCCGCATTAGAGGTGGCGTAGCTCGTCCTTGCCTTCAGATCGACAAGGATGCTTCCTGTCTTCTCATGCAGAAGACAAAATTTTTAAGCTTAGGCTACCCCGGGACAGCGATGCAAAAAAAAAAAAGTGATCAGGATCTTTCATTTTCCCCTCATTCTCATTTTTGGGAGCGTGCGTTAATGTATCCATTGGAAGCTATGTAGTTTTTTGTTTTTTGTTTTTTTTTTTTTTTTTTTGAGACGTGCAGTATGATGTACTGCATCTCGTATCTATGCTGAAAAAAAGCTTAACAACACTGCTTACGTTTATTGGACATGTGAGAATTTAAACATTAACATTTAGTAAGTAATAGTTAACACATTTGAATCCACTTGAAGTTGTAAAGTACTCATTAAAGATTTAGGAGACAGATCTAATCGCTGCAAGCTCTAATAATTGTGATTTAACAGATACATTTCTGATTCTATTTATCGTTTCTTAAGTAGACTTTTACACCTAAAATGACCAAGACTCGACTGTGTTAAAGCTCTTTCAGGGAGTATGTGGGTGGCTCTTAAAAGAGCCTTTGGGTTAAAACTGGCGATCCGAGACGCTCTACTTGGAGCTGGTGTACTTGGTGACGGCCTTGGTGCCCTCGGAGACGGCGTGCTTGGCCAGCTCGCCGGGCAGCAGGAGCCGCACGGCCGTCTGGATCTCCCGCGAGGTGATGGTGGAGCGCTTGTTGTAGTGCGCCAGGCGCGAGGCCTCGCCGGCGATGCGCTCGAAGATGTCGTTGACGAAGGAGTTCATGATGCCCATGGCCTTGGACGAGATGCCCGTGTCGGGGTGCACCTGCTTCAGCACCTTGTACACGTAGATCGAGTAGCTCTCCTTGCGGCTCTTCTTGCGCTTCTTGTCGCCCTTCTTCTGCGTCTTGGTCACCGCCTTCTTGGAGCCCTTCTTGGGCGCGGGGGCGGACTTGGCCGGCTCGGGCATTTTGACCGTGCTCCTCTTTTCCTTCGGAAAAAGATCAGTAGCTAAAATGGCCGCAGCGCCCTCTATTTATAGGGCCGTTATGCAAATACCAGACCTCTAACTCGTACGATTCGATTGGACCGTCCCGCACGGGCTGTATCGTTGCCGCTGATTGGTCACAATACGATCCGTCTTCTCATTGGTTGCGTAAGCAATGATAGCTTCCAGCCAATCACCAAGCGCCGATCCCGCCCAGGGAAGGGATAAAACGGGAAGAGGCGTTGCGTCAGTATGATCGCTTCCTTCTCGTGTCCGACGCGGAGGCTGTTGGTTTTTGTTGGTTTTTTTTTTTTTTTTTTTTTTTTTGCCACATGTATCGGGCGCGCGGGGT